GAATCTTCACACCCTTACTTTCACTAGAATCTTCACACCCTTACTTTCACTAGAATCTTCACACCCTTACTCTCACAAGAATCTTTGCACCCTTACTTTCACTAGAATCTTCACACCTTACTTTCACTAGAATCTTCACACCCTTACTCTCACTAGAATCTTCGCACCCTTACTCTCACAAGAATCTTCACACCCTTACTTTCACTAGAATCTTCACACCCTTACTCACTAGAATCTTCGCACCCTTACTCTCACAAGAATCTTCACACCCTTACTCTCACTAGAATCTTCGCACCCTTACTCTCACAAGAATCTTCACACCCTTACTTTCACTAGAATCTTCACACCCTTACTCTCACAAGAATCTTCACACCCTTACTCTCACTAGAATCTTCACACCTTTACTCTCACTAGAATCTTTGCACCCTTAGTTGTACTCTGTTGGACTGAAAGTAACTGTAGTGTACCAACATCATTACAAAAAATACAAATTGTGAGGAAAGGAACGTAGTCAACTATTATGTATAGCGTAGCATATACTATGAAATTATAATTCAGATAAAAAAGATAGTTTTGTTAAAAGAATTATTTTTTAGTTTAAGAAACTTTTCTTAGTTTTGCACCTAATGTTTCAAAGAATTGCTAGAAATAAAACAAAGTTTTGTTTCCTTAAGCGACAGACCGTTGTACCTCCACATTCAGGCATCAGATCAAAATGCTGTGAATTGTAAGTATCTGTTCATTTTTGCTTTAATATTTTCTTTAAAGACTTTATACCTTTTTTTTAATGCAAAAAAATTGTGTTTTGAAAACAAGGCTGTATCAGACTTCTAACAGTCAGAAATTCTTATCAGATGACATTTTATAATTTCAAAATTACAAAAGCTTATTATAATATGGTTCAAAAGTACTGTATATTCACGTGACAGAGAGTCAGTTGCATTTTATAAGTTGTTTTTGCTGATGTAGTGAAAAAATTTCAAGATCTATAGTATAAGGTTCACCTTACTGTCCTTCACAGAAAAAAACTTGTGATAGAAATTAGCCCAGCAGTGTCGGAAATTCTGCTTAATCATAGCCATCAAATTAAAGCATACTGGCCCCCATTGGCCTAGCAGCTAGTCTGAAGGCTTGTAATGCTAAAAATTGGGTTTTGATACCTGTGATGAGAATAGCACAGATAGCTCATTGTGTAACTTTGTGCTTACCTACAAGTAAACAAATATTATGTACAGATAATGAAGCTCATTGTGTAACTTTTTGCTTACCTACAAGTAAACAAATATTATGTGCAGATAATGAAGCTCATTGTGTAACTTTGTGCTTACCTACAAGTAAACAAATATTATGTGCAGATAATGAAGCTCATTGTGTAACTTTGTGCTTACCTACAAGTAAACAAATATTATGTACAGATAATGAAAGAGTTCTAAGGGTAGATTAGAACTTGGATCATCATTTCTCTGAAGTGCATTTGACCTGAGTATTAATAATGGCTGGAGACGGCTTGAATGGGTAATGAAGAAAGTTTTTCTTCATTACCCATTCAAGCCGTCTCCAGCCATTATTAGTCTCAAAGTGGGTTCCTCGTCATCGAATTTGACCTGAGTATTTTTAAACATATTTTTAGTTCAGAAAGATACAAGGAAAAGTTTACTTGATTTACGACCAGAAAACATTCGTCAACATGTATGTGACATATTTTGAATTAACCTGAAAACTGTTTACACTGAATATTTTCACTTTCACCATGAAAAACATCTTGTGTATTACATTGCTTTTAATATTCCTATGTTTAATCTGCTTTGATAACTTTATCTTCTATAGTGGCTGTTAGAAGAATTCATGAGTTTATTGCTAGAAATACCAAAGGACTTTCTGGTATTAGCACCATCACCACAGTCCCAACAACTATTTAACGGTTTGACTTCAACTGTCAGTATGTCACAGATGTCTTCAGGAGTAAGTTGAAATATTTATGCCATTTGCATATTTTTTAGTAAACTTCTTTTATCTTGGTTTATATTTGTGCTTATGTAACACGGCTGTTATCGTGAGAATGCTTATGTAACATGGCTGTTATCGTGAGAATGCTTATTTTTTATTGACAGTTAAATGTCAAGAGAGTTTTGTTTTTTTTTTTTGAGGATAAATTTATTTTCTAGTCTTTCAGTATTTACAGTAGACAGTTTACTCATCGTGTGATTTTTCAGTGTTTACAGTAGACAGTTTACTCATCGTGTGTTTTTTCAGTGTTTACAATAGACAGTTTACTCATCATGTGGTTTTCAGTGTTTACAGTAGACAGTTTACTCGTCGTGTGGTCTTTCAGTGTTTTCTGTAGACAGTTTACTTGTTGTGTAGTCTTTCTCTGTTTGCAGTAGACAGTTTACTCGTTGTGTGGTCTTTCAGTGTTTTCTGTATACAGTTTACTCGTTGTGTGTTCTTTCAGTGTTTTCTGTAGACAGTTTACTCGTTGTGTAGTCTTTCACTGTTTTCAGTAGACAGTTTACTCATTGTTTGGTCTTTCAGTGTTTTCTGTAGACAGTTTACTCATTGTTTGGTCTTTCAGTGTTTTCAGTAGACAGTTTACTCGTTTTCATTAAAGATAGGCCATCTGTTACATTTAAGGTGATCAATTTGGGCCAGTATATTTTGAGGGACATTTTGGGCTTCATTACTTAGTCTTTTAAGAGTAAATCAGGACTGTAAATACAGTATTGTGGTGTATATTATTTTGTCTTTTTATGCTCTTATTAGTTTTTTTTTCTTTCAGATCTAAAATGAATACAATTTTTAAAAAACTGGTTGATGATTGTACTTGTAATCATCAACCTCTGTGACAACCAAGATAAAATTATAACAACATTGACAACAAATAAAATTCTTTAGAACAATTATTGTTTTAACCCTTTTGCTGCATATTTCGGATATATCCAAATAAACGTTAATATGCACCGACTGTGAAGTTCGGATTTATTACCCCACGGCTACCAAAAAAAGTTTCCCTCTACTGCGACATGCAGGAATATCCCCCTGTAATTTAAACAGTCACCAGACCTGCATGCGTGCTGCCATCTTTGCTCTACGCCATGAAACCTGGATGTTTATATGCCTTATTACAAAATTTCCAACTTTGCAGGAACGCATGTAGAATCTGTATCAAGACAGCTTCATTATATCTTGGATATTGTTATCTAAATAATTTGTTTTATATTTTATAATGATTTTGGCCTCTTATTGACTTAGTTTTGCTGATATTTATGCCGTTTACTGGAGAACACTTCTAATTTTACTCAACTGTTTGTTTAAATCATTATTTTTCACCATCCAGTTCGGTTTTCAAGGAATATTACTGTCAGGTATAGAAATTACAGCTTCCTTCAATATTGAAAAAGTAATACAAAGATTCAAATTCACACTTTTATTTTTGGGTGGATAATTGACACTTTTTTGAGAATCACCCTGAAAATTAATTGGGCAGTAAAAGGGTTAAGTATTGTTTAAATGTGGATTCATGTCTTAGTGTGGCATTGCAGATGTAAACTGAGAAAAGATTGAAAAGTAATTGAATGTAATTGGAAAACCACAAGATATACAAAATTGTTAATGAATGCAACAATATGAGAGTGGTCTCAGTAACAATTTTGTTGGCATGGTAACATATATTCAGCAACCAATCAAGTATAAATTAATTTGTCGTCCTTTAAAAAGTTGGTCGGTAACTATTTAGTTTTCGTTTCATATCACAGAAGTTTGTAGCTTTGACCAAAGCACGTGTTTGGATGAAACATGCAAGGCTGTCTCACTTGTTTTTAAAGTGGCTTTAGTTGAAATGTATTTAGTGGACTGTAAATTAAGGAGAGTTCATCAGTGCTTTGGTCAGTAGTGCATGATCATTTATAATTTCTTTTAATGGCTTGTTTTGTAGTCTTTTTGTTTTTTGCTTGAATAATTATGTATTTATGTGATAGTTTGGTGTTGCCAGGGAAGATAAATATTCAATCCAGAGTAACTGGATAATTGACTGCTAGGACTCCTGCAGAATTTATTTTCCATACATGTTGACCAGAATTTATTTATAAAATACATGTTGACCAGAATTTATTTAAGAAAATACATTTGACTGTATATGATATTTGTTTATAAAATACATGTTGACCAGAATTTATTTAAGAAAATACATTTTACTGTACATGATATTTATTTATAAAATACATGTTGACCAGAATTTATTTAAGAAAATACATTTGACTGTACATGATATTTGTTTATAAAATACATGTTGACCAGAATTTATTTATAAAATACATGTTGACCAGAATTTATTTATAAAATACATGTTGACCAGAATTTATTTAAGAAAATAGCATTTGACTGTATATGATATTTGTTTATAAAAATACATGTTGACCAGAATTTATTTATAAAATACATGTTGACCAGAATTTATTTATAAAATACATGTTGACCAGAATTTATTTAAGAAAATACATTTGACTGTACATGATATTTATTTATAAAATACATGTTGACCAGAATTTATTTATAAAATACATGTTGACCAGAATTTATTTATAAAATACATGTTGACCAGAATTTATTTTATAAAATACATGTTGACCATAATTTATTTATAAAATACATATTGACCAGAATGATACCTCTAACTTTTTAACAGAACAAACTAATTCAGTTAAAGAAATGAGAATTAGTATATAGTTTTTGTTGTGGTAAAATTTGTAAACAATTGTAAATTTTTTTCTTCTCTCACTTGTAGCATCATTTTGTTCAAGAGAAAGTGTATGTTGGATTAGAGCACGCTTCACTATCTTCGATTCGAGAAAAGATTCTAGGACCGGAAGTGAGCATATCATTGTGTTATTTACCACTTGTACAATATTAACAAAAATAGGTTTTTCACTGAATTTAAAGTAATAAAAATACATTTCCAATAATACCAGATCATCGACTGATCAGACAGAATGTAAGTAGTTATAAGTTTTTTTACTTTTCTGAGGAGCGTCTCTATTCTTTGCTATAAGATTGCCTGAAAAGGTAGTTAGTTATTTGATGATATATAAAAATATTTTGTTTCACAAGTGGAATGTAATGGTGATTTTGTTTTTATTTAGGGATCCTACCTTCAACACATAAGAACTGAAACAGGTGCTAGTGTTACCTTAAGGGGCAAGGGTTCAGGATTCATGGAACCTACCTCTGGGAGAGAAGCCTTCGAACCTCTTCATATTCACATCACGTGAGGAAGAAATACTTCCATAATTACTTGTAAAATATTTGTAAAGCACAAGCTCATGATGCACTGTTTAACGTTTTGAACAATATTTTAAAGTTAACAAAAGAAACTCTCTATTTATATTTTTCACGGATCACATTGTTAAGTTACATATGTTGTTACAAAAAAGCAATATACTTTAAATATTTACATAAAGTGGAGGATTATTATGCTTAATAGATTATCAGCAGTTATGTTTTGTTAGGCTGAACCAATAATCCTGTTGCTGTTCTTTACATAAAAACAAGTTTAGAAGTGAAAGATAGGAAAAGACAGACAACAATTTTTTGGGGAAATTTTAAAAACAAGTAAACTTTTTTCCATTTTTGCTTTATTTGTGCAGATGCCTGTTTAATAAAGAGTAAAATACAATTAATTTTTTTTATATAATTAATATCTTGTTGAAATTAAACTACTTATTCATGATGCTAAAAATTTCTGTATAGGGATAATGATTGAAACTCAGTATTTCTAGACTTAGTTTTCGTTTGGACTTGATTTAGAAATATTCATTTTAAGCTATTAGAAATTCAAAATTACTCCTACCTAAAAGAATACTAATTTCTTTATTTGTTACATTATGCTATTATTACTCATAAGGGGGGTGTTACTTTTCGGCATTTATACTGTAAGTTAGTCAGTTAAATATTTTGAGAATTCATTCAATTTTAATTTATTTTTTGTGAATTTATTTATCTTAGCAAGATTTTAGTATCAAGTTTTGATTCTCTGTTTGTGAAAATAGTTATCAGTTTTCTGATAAATAGTGTATTAGAATTATTAAAACTTATATAACCCATATTAAATGTGTTGGTTTATGAATCACTGATACATCAAAACTCTTTGGTATACTTCACGTGTACTTCACTTACCTAATCAATGGTTTTGAGTTCATAGTATCTGAAAATGAATAATTTCTAATAACTCTGTCCACTGAATGAAGCTAGATTCATTTTTACAGTACAGTTTAGAATTTAGCGATCATTTAATTTAAAAGATGAAATACCATTACAATAGTAAAATTACATTGTGCATTTTTTTGTCTAATGTGTATGGTATTTTTTTATTGGATAAAAATTTGTTCACTGAATGCACATTTTCCGATAGAGTAACTTACCTATATAGCTCTTCACATTCAGTGGTGCCCTCTATATGTAAAAATTTCCACAAGCCTTGAGCTCCACAAACAATGTGGTTCAACTGCATCTAGCATGTAAATCATCATACAACAACCCTCCACCAATAGGGTGTAAAACACCCTCCTAATGCATGTGACTCCCTCTATTTGATTCCACTGAACTATCACTTTTTTTGTTTGTGCTCTCTTCCTGTATTCTTTTTTTAAATTTTATACAAAGTGGAAATATTTTTAACAATTTTAAATGATCACTTACCATTTTTGTTCTTCAAATTTTTTTGTGGTTTTTACTAAAGTTTATGTTTCCACCTGGAAAGGATATTTTCTTCCAGCACATTTACAGCATCAGGTGGCGGTACTAGACTGAGGAATAGTTATATGAGTTGACCTTCATTGGGCCTCGAATTTAGGGGCCCACACATTTTGAATATGGTGTGCCAACTTTGGACAGATAAGCTGTTATACCGTTATAGATTTCTGAATATTTTTTGATATTAATGTTATTATTATTTGGGTTGAATAACATAAGTTTAATTAGAATTGTAAATACTTGTTGTAAGGTTAGGGTTTTCAATTAGAGCTTGGTGATATCCTTTGTACTACAGTGTTAGATTAGGCTTAACGAGTATCTTTGTTATTTTAGTCTTACCTGTCATTTATTTTACTGGTAAGTCATAAATTAGGTTCAATATATTGTTTTCTTCAACAAATACCATCTAATAAATTGTTATTGTCAATACACATGTACTTAATATAAAGACTATTTAATTTTCTTAATTATTTATATTTTCTATTTTTTTACAATTAATTTAGTTTGTAAAGACCCCTAAGGCCAGGGTATGCCCCACCTTCTCCCAGTATTACTCGCCTTCCTCCTAAACCTACTGAACCTGTTTGAGATGATGTATATTTTGACATTTTTCCTTCATCTGCTTATGATTTTCTTTCCCAGACCTCTCCTGCGGAGTCTGCTAGGCCTACCTCAGCCCTTTTTGACGTGTTTCACAGTAATTGTTTTTTTCCACACTTTTTCCAGACATTGTGGTTCATGCTGGGACCTTTTGTGTCTCTTTTTGAGAGAAGGTGTTTGCTGCATGCCTTGCCCTCTATGGGCTTTGGTTCATTTTGCCTTAGTTTACCATCAGGCAGATTGTTTTTTCTTTTCTTGATTTTTTGCACTAAGAATCTTTGTTGCCTGTATGGGGGCAGCTCCTGATATTCCTATCCTTTTATCCTTTGCCAAGTTTTCCAGACTTTGTCTTCCTCTATTGACTCTTCTACAAGAATTGTTCATTGTACATCTCATTTCTGAGGCATTTCACCTAATTCTTGGGGATTTTTGTGGGGTACCTTCCCCTCCTTACCTCTGTGTTGGGGAGATTGTCATCTTTGGCTCTTTCCCGATACATGTGGCTTATTTGCTTTTGGGATCTTCTAGGTCAGGCACATATGCGATATCTTCAGGTGATGCTGCATGACCCGTTGTATCTTGATAGGGTTCCTTTGGATTCCACTTGTAACTTTCATACTTCCCTCTTCGAGAATATGTGTTGATGGTTGAACAAAGCCCCCATGTTATCTAGACAATGGTATACAGCCAAAAGGTCTTGTTAACACCTTTGAAATTCTTGCAGTCCAACGTGCTTTGGTTCATTTTTTCCTCTTGTCAGGATTCGACTAATCATGATCCATTCTGACAAATTGGAGGTGGTTTATATCACTTACCAAGGAAACACCCGTTCTAGTTCTCTTTGTGGTCGACCTTGGATCTCTCTTTTTTGGGTCCATACACTTGACATAAGTCTTCTCGCGTGTCATGTTCTGAGTGATTTCACCATCTTTGCAGATTGCCTTTCCAGTCCTGACACACTATCCTTTATTCTATGGAGTAGTGTCTCAATGTCTTAAGTTAAGTGTCTTAAAAGTTTCCGGTGTCTCTGACTCCAGTGGGATGCATTTGCCTCTTTTCTCAATTTTAATTTACCTCTCTTTTTTGTCTCCAGTTCCTCCTCCACTTGCCTTGGTTGTTTATGTGTTTAGACAGGATTGAGACCAGTTTATACCTTTATCTTATCATTCCGGTGTCTCTGACTCCAGTGGGATGCATTTGCCTCTTTTCTCAATTTTAATTTACCTCTCTTTTTTGTCTCCAGTTCCTCCTCCACTTGCCTTGGTTGTCTATGTGTTTAGACAGGATTGGGACCAGTTTATACCTTTATTTTATCATTCCGTTTTTCATCTTCCCTAGGTAATTTCATTCATTCATGCCACTCTGTGACAGGTCTTACTGATTGCTACTTCCTGGCCTGTACAAATCTGGTTTTCTCAGCTGATTCAGCTTAATCCATTCTCTTTGTTCTGGATCTATTCTTTCTAACTTCTTTCCTATCCCCCCATGGATGTCGGTTCCCTATGGCGGGGTTTTGGATGCAGTTGACTTGCCATGTATGGTCAGTCATGCCTTAGCTACTCTACACCTTGGGGCACATCCTTTTTTCCCTCTCATCCACATTACTGTTGTTGAAGGGATTGAGATTCCGATATCTGGTGGTTTGGATCCCTATCCAACCATTGTTCTAAAGGAAAGAAAGAAGCATCCTTCGAAAGCATTCGAAGAACACCCGAAAAGTGGAGATCCTCGCAGTAGAGGATCCTACGTGGGAGACTGCATCTCATCTGTAATTATACTGTAAGCCCAGTGTGGAAAGAGGTGTTGCAAACATGGGTGGAAAATGGGAGGCACCAATCCTTCCACCTATTCAATGTGGGATTCTAGCTATTTATGCGAGAGGAGGTGAATTACCATATTGGAAGTTATAATTTTCCTATACCGAAATTGTATTTCTGATAGGTAGTTACTTCCTCACTGAAAACTGATGTATCCATTTTCTGACAAAACTTGAAGTTATAGTTCAGTAGAATCCGATAGAGGGAGTCACATGTGTCAGGAGGGTGTGTTGCACTCCTATTGGTAGCAAGTTGTTTCATGATGATTTATATGCAAGATGCAGTTGAACCACATTAATCATGTTGTATGTGGGAGTTCAAGGCTTGTGGCATGCAAAAACATTTTTGCATATAGAGGGCAGTATGGTATGAGAATAGCCATATCTGTGAGATAAACAGAAGTGTAGTTTTAGGTAGTCAATATTTGATAGAGATTAATTAAGAAAGATGCAGTTGAACCACATCAATCGTGTGGTAATTGGGAATTCAAGGCTTGAGATATGCAAAAACATTTTTACATATAGAGGGCAGTGTGGTATGAGAATAGCCATATCTGTGAGATAAACAAGTGTAGTTTTAGGTAGTCAATATTTGAGAGAAATTAATTTTGAAGTGTAGTTATAATGTAGAAAGCAAGACTTCTATTTACCCATGGTACTATTACAGATGATGATTTTGTATCTTTTACAAGGATATTTAATGTTTTTACATTCATTGATATTGAAGACCATTTTATATCTCTTTTATATGATTGATTTCCATTTTGTTTTTTGTCATCCATAATGAGAGAAATTTGTTTCTTATTTTTTGCAGTCATCCAAAGCCAGAAGGTCTACAAGCTGCTAAAGCTTTAGCTTTAAATTTAGTCCAGACGGTAAGTAGACTTATCACAGATTTTTTATGACAATTTGAGAATTAATGCTGTTGTATTAAATTTACCATGCCCAGGTGTATCAGTTGATACATCTGTATGGTTTGTTTTATTGCATTGCAAAAAATGCTACAGATTGTCTAGTTTTTGCAAGTATCGTATTTTTGTATTTGATATTTGTATGAATTTCAAAACTTGAAAAGATTTCATCGTAATATTTTTTTTAAGAAACAAAAATGCTTACTTTGTTCTGTGTTTGAAATATTAAGTTTTATGTCTTGCTGCATTTTTTGAATACATTCCTATAAAGTCTTCTTTTTTATAGAACTGTAAATTTTATTTTTGTTTTGAATAGTTAAATGTTATGTTCAGTTTCACTGTGAGTGTAATCACTGTTGTACAATTAAAATAACTTTATTTTTTTTAGCATACCAAAATTATGAGCAGGCCAACTTTTTTTAATTGTTAATCAGAATATTTCATTTAATATATGTAATATGTTTTAAACTAGTTTTATATTAATTTATATATATATATATATTTTAAACATTTCTTTTTGGTCATTCTATTTGCCCATTCAAGTAGTTATTTGGGCTCTTCAGCCCTAATGTGTTAACATGGCCTTGTTAGTGAAACAAAACTTGATCCTGTCAAGTGCAAAGTGATTTAACTAAGCCTACCTCATCTAGTTGAATGAAAAACTTTTTTTTCCTATCATACTAAACAGGTACCTGATGATGACAAAACCTTGTTGTAATGTTGTACATTTGCTGTTATGTTAAACTTATATTAAAGTTTTTCTTCATTACCCATTCAAGCCATCTCCAAGCATTATTAGTCTCAAAGTGCGTTACTCATCATCGAATTTGTATACTATACATTGATTTGAAATGAAGTATAAGATGATAAAGCAAGCTTTAAAAAATCAGAACTAATTGTTGCAGGAGTTGTTTACAAACATCTAACAATCTGATGCCATGATAAGCCTTTATCACTTTTTTTTTACATGCTTAGATCACTAATTTGTGACTTCTCAAAGTTGAGATATAGGCACTTACATCATACCATGACAACTGAAGTCGATGATTGACTAGAACTACATTTATATTGAGTTATAGGGTCCAATTAGTGCTATTTGTTCAAAACTGTTTGAACTTTCCTTTCAGGGATTGTGCACACTTTATATTCAGAAAAAAAAATCACAGACATATATTTGTTTGGAGCACATTGAAATCAGGCCATAATAACAATTTGTAATTTATTTTTAATGCCTAAAATTAAATAAAAAAACTTTTTTTTATATAATAAAATTCAACATTGAAGGTTCTTTAATGTGTCAAAAAATACATTCAAGTTTTGTTGTATAATTTAATTTTGTGGCGCAGTTTTACCCTCTAGACAGAATGCATTTACTCGACCACGACAGAGTTAACTTGGATAAAACAGCTATAGATTATGCCGTTTATTCTAATACAAAACACGTTTTTTTTAAATCTTGTAACTATAGTTCTTAGAGAAAATTCGACCCATACCCCAGAATATTAATATTTTATTGTTAGTATTGTAAAATAGATGACTGTGTTGTCGTTTACTTACTTTTGTGATGATTTTAAATAAATACATTTTACTGTGGGGTCTTTAGGACTAGTATCTTGGTAATACGCTGAATTAATCAACTCTGTTTAGTTGACTTCAAGTAAGCTAGCTAGTAAAATAGAAATTACATCAGTCCGGAAAAAACTTAATTAAAAGAGTCAAGTGCTTTTGAAGGGTGCTTCTCCCCCCCTCTTTTGTCAGATGTAAACAAATGATAGAAGTAGAAGTAGGTAATAGAAAGTTTGAACTTACCTCAACAAACAATGTTAGTTATGGTGGAAAGGATAAACTAATAAATCAAGTGGATATCAGATATTTTGTGTGACATCTACATAAGGTTAAAGAATGCCCTGTATGACATCTGTGTAAGATGAAGGAATGCCCTGTATGACATCTGTGTAAGATGAAGGAATGTCCTGTATGACATCTATATAAGGTTAGGGAATGCCTGTATGACATCTGTGTAA